ATCTACGCATGATTTTTCTATTTCCCTTTATGTTACCGCAATATAACCTCTGGTAAAAAAATATGCAATGATAATAACAGAAAAATTGCAATTTCGTCGTCGGCTTCTTTGTCTTTCTTCTTCTGCTTTTTCTGCTTCTTCTTCGTCTTCATCCTCCTCTTCTTTGTCTTCTTCTTATTCTTTGTCTTCGTTTTTCTTCTTCTTTGCCCTTTTCTTCTGCTTCATCGTTTTCTTTTTTCTTCTTCTTCTTCTTTGCCCTTTTCTTATGCTTCCTCCTCTTCTAAGAATTTTGAATTCTTTTCAGTTACAATACTGTATCATACTTTCGCATTTGAAGCTAAAAATAAGACCATTGTATATATTTGACTGATGAAGGGAGTAGAGGTCCCGAAACATGTTATATTATAGATTTTGTATCTACAAATCAGATTCATGTTTGATTTTTTTTATTTATTTCTGGCTTATATCATTTGGTTTTATTTATAAATAAAGATTTATACTGCAATTGGTTTGTTTTTATTAAGACTGACTCCCCCAAAACATATATTTATGTTTTTCTAATGTTCAACCAATTTAAGGCCCAAGAGTCACTGGATGTAGAGGATTACTGTGTGAGTTATATAAAATATATATATATATATATATATATATATATATATATATATATATATATATATATACAAACAAATAATCACGCATAGAATCAATCAGAAATATTATTGGCGACATCCATCGCTAGTAGTGTATAATCTATGCATTAAAATACTGTTAATCCATAGAATGATGTGATCCTCATTTATAAAACTGTTGTCTGTTGTTTCCAGTTTATATTTTTTTAAAATGCAAGTACTTTCGAATAATCCTTTATTCATGCTCAGGCATATTTTTTTTCCTTTTAAAATTAAAACTTGGAGAGGAAATAATTCTTTGTAGACCGAAAGATGTTTTTTTTATTGTGCTATTATTCACGGTTGTATACAATATCGTAACGGGCAAAGACGCAACGCTAAGTTTTTCAAAATTTTAAGTGAGAATTTTTATTTGAACTTCTTTTTGATGTGGTAATTCCACGTATTCTATTTTTACAAGTGTTTTCAGTTAATATGTCATGAACTAAGTATATAGTTCAATTAATATAGTGTAATGACTTAGTAGTAGTTTTTTTTATAGGAATTTTTTTGTACTGCGGATCGATAGTTTTTTATAAACATAAAACATTAGGCAGCATATAATTTATATACAAAGAAATATTCACGTATATGCGTGATTATTTTGTATATAAATTATATAATAATATATATATATATATATATATATATATATATATATATATGTATATATATATATATATATATATATATATATATATATATATATATATATATATATATATATATATATTGATGCTGCATGTTTCATTAAATAATATAGACAGGGGGCAGTGAACCACCGACTTGATAGTTTTGTTTGAATGAATGCCATAATTACAAGAGACAAAAGTTAATATAAAAGATAGGAAGTTGTGGAGAGCAATAATCGCTCAAACCCGGAAAGAAGAAATCTTTGCCCATTAAACATAATCAACTTGTCTCTCTTGCAACTTCTGGCATGTTGAATCCACTGGTGGATATTTTTTCCATTCATGCAGTGATGAGCAAAAATCGGCAGATTGGATTACAATTAGCAACCCAGAAAGGACAATCAGACAGGCAACTGTGAATTATGTTTACAGATACCCTCGGGGAAGATATATAAATACATCTTTTCTCTACTATTTTAACAAAGGATGGAAAATGCAGTCAAGATCCAAACACGTATTGGACTAGCGAAAGAAATATTCCAAAAGCTAAGCAAAGTGCTGAGATATGGAAAAATGTCATTAGAAACAAAGAAAATAATTCTGGATTGCTATATAATATCCATCTTCTTATATGGCAAAGAATGCTGAACAATCTCCCCACGGATGAGGAGAACGTTAGAAGCAGTAGAAATGTTGTTCTACAGAAGGATTCTGAGAATTCTACGGAGGAAGCGTGTAAGCAACAACGAAGTATTAAAGAAAATGGCAACAGAAAGAACATGTCTACTGAGATATTAATATAACTGAAATTCCTTGCACACATAACGAGGGAGGTGGACATGGAAAAAATCGCTTAGTGTAGTAATTTCTAATCCAAAGAAAAAAAACACCCAATCGTGTCATTTTTAATATTTCTTCCTTTTCCATTTTTAAAGTCGTATGGTTTAATGTTAATTTTAGTTTTTACTTTTTGTTTTTACCAATAAATATGTTCCTTTGTCATAACCTCTTCAGCCAGTAATTCAAGTAGACCCTATTAATATAAATTATTAAAGCTGAGCCACAAATGAGAGCTCAATATATGGACACATGGCACAGTGGATAAAGGCGTTGGTTAGATCCGGTGACAGACCCAAAGAGAGTGAGTTCAATACCCGGTTAAGGCAGTGGAGAACTTTCAGAGAGAAAATTAGCAGAAGA